GTGACTATGAAGAAAGCAGTCTTCTGGGATTTGGCACCGTGTATATGTGGTGTTAACCGACGTTTCGGAGGAACGTATTGCCTCCATCTTCAGGGTAGAAGGAAAAATATAAGAAATCCGCAGACTGGTCTGCTTGTACCGGTTCTCACGGTCTCTTCGCCTGCGGATTTCTTGTATTTTTCCTTCTACCCTTAAGATGGAGGCGATACGTTCCTCCGAAACGTCGGTTAACACCACATATACACGGTGCCAAATCCCAGAAGACTGCTTTCTTCATAGTCACCGCCGTGAAAACCTCAAATCTTACAATTAGTGACTTGTCTGTTCAGGCAAAACTTGACAGTTTCTTCAGACCTCCATTATTACGTTCAAAAATAAGTTCAACCTCTGAGTCTTCTATCGATGAATAAACGTATTGTATTTTTATAGTGTTTAAATAAAGGTTCTGTAGTTATATACGTGTATTTCATTCTCATCAGCACTGCTTATATAATTAAATTTTCACAGGACAACACAAACACAAACAAACAAATAAAACTCACAGACATCCATGCCTACAGTTTGATTCGAACTCACGATCCCAGCGTTCCAGCGAGCGAAGACATTTCATGCATTAGACCGTGCGGCCACTGTGAGCGGTTATCAATTATCACCATAGATGTTATCCTGATTGAGGTCAGTAAACCTCACATTCTCACAATCGATTTCCTAATGTCCGTTTCAATGTCACCTTCAAAACATCCTAATTGGCCTTCCAAGTCACTTTTATTTAATATTTCACCACCAGACTCTATAGACATGTCTAATATGCGACATACACTTGCAACCCGGTACGTTACTTCACAAATTTCCCTCTCTTAACATTATTAGTCGTATAACTGGGTCCAGAACATCTCTGAAGCTGACGTAGGCTGTTACATCTACGTTATAAAGTATACTTTATTTTATTTTAAACACACGGCGAGATTCAAAATCACCATACCAGGAAACTGAAGGAAACTGAATAATGAGGAAACTCATGACTTGTACCCTTCGCCAAATGTAATTAGAATGCTGAAGTCACCGGGAATCAGATTGGCAGGGTATGTATCATGAATGGTGAAGATGAATGATTAGGTTGTTTTGGTGTGAAGGCTGGAAGGAGACAACAAGCAAGACCCAGACAATGCCCGGAGGATAACATTAAGCTGTGGGTTGTTATGGACTGAATTGATCTGTCTCAGGCTAGAAACCAGAGGAGAGCTCTTGTGAACACGGTAATGAACCTTCGGATTCAATAAAATATTAGGAAAATTTGAGTCGCTGAGTGACTGGCGTTTTTAGGGACTCAGATTTATGGAGTTAGGATGTCTCTGAGATGTATAACATGTCCGCAAAAAGACTGTAGGCAACGAGTAGATTATCTGTCAAAATAACGAAGTCCCTAGCTGTGTACCATTCTAAATTGCGCGCCCGCTTGACATCACTTTATTTCTCTGGCGCTGCAGCCCCAATTTCGGCTTTGGCCTACCTCCATGAAACTCTACGTTTCACTTCGGTTTACAAAATTTTAGACATACGGTAGGACTTCTTGGGCGGGTGATCAGCTCGTCGCAAGGCCTCTACCTGTACACAAACACTGAACATTCATGTCCTGAGTGGGATTCGAACCCACGATCCCGGCTTCCGAGCGAGCGAAGACAGTACATGCCTTAGACCGCTCGGCTACCGTGACCGGCAGTGTATAAGAATAATATATAAGAATTCAGTTCGTACCTCACAGGAAACAGATCCGAACTCACGATCCCGGCTTCCGAACGAGCGAAGATAGTGTATAACTTAGACCGCTCGGCTACCGTGACCGGCTCACATCACTTAGACTCAAATAATTTTCTTAGCTCTCGTAATTTACTAGTCTTCCCTCAAAGCAAGAGGCTCTGTTTTACAACCATACAAAACGGCAAAAAAGTAAAAAATAAAAGTATTCCTGTAACAGGCCGTGGAGGCCCATAGTGTTGTGAGATGTTGAAGTTCCCAAATTTTGTAGACAGTCGGCTCATAGATGGCGGTAAGGTTATCAGCTTTACGCGTCGGCCTTCCTTTACACCCAAGAATATTTCTTGTACTCATTTCTGTTAGAGGCTGAGTCGAGCTCAGGCCATAATGCAGCTGGAAGGATTAGATAAATTGAAAAAAAAAAAATCCATCTAATCGGGATTCGATCCCGCAACTTTCCAGCTTGCAGCATAGTGCCTCAACCAACTACGCTACCGCGTGCCACCATGCAAAACGGCAGGTAAAATAATTATTTTTATACTCTTTTGTTGTGTACCATAACCATTTTTTTTTTTCAGAAATGTTTGCTGTAATGACAGCGGAGTACTCACTCGCTAAATTTCGCTTCCTGCTCTCTGATGCGCCGTATATGAAATGCCTCCGATGGCGGAAATATTACATCACTGCAGATAGCTGCCAACTGCTCTTGTTTGTATGGACGGCCGTACCAACTCTAAGCAGGTTCCGCTACAGCGCTCTTAGTTACGTAAGTTGTAGTATCTCAGCATAAAATGTTTTATTCCGTACACAAATGCGTTTCATTAGAGCACAGATTATACCTTACGTTGCGGTTTTCCAGTAAGTTAAATTTATGTAACCAGATTTTATTGTCAAGGTTGTATGCACTGGTCACGTAATAAGGCTTGATGTTACAGTTCATTTCTATAGGTCCAGCATATCACTAATACCGTATGACACAAGGGGTCCATAGGTCTCGGACATTTTACTCGTCCCATGAAACCAGAAGTGACAGTCAATGCTGAAGTATAGAGTGATTCTAAATTACTGTCGGGGTGTCCGTGGCCTATAATTTCCAAAACGAAGAAAACAGAATAAAACTGCTGATGTAGTATTAAAGCGCGACTCAACGAGTTTTATTAGTTATGGAATCAATAATGCAGATTGCTGAACAACTTCAAAATGCGCGCCTTTCATGGCACGTACGGTGCCCAAGTGATATTCAATTTCCGGTTTGAAAATCTTAAACCACAGAAACCCCATAATAATTTATAGTCATATTTTATAATAACGGCCACTTGGCTCTGTATTTCTGAAATTTGTGTTCTCTCACTTAAGTCTGACAACTCTCTTAGTTTCCTGTATTTATTTATAAGTTTAACGACATTGTCGGGTGCACGCGGCAGCTTAGTTGGTTGGCTCTGAGGCCCACCCAAGATGAAGCAGCCGGAATATGAAGTTGACCACTTTCGTTCATGTACTGCCGAGGTAAAGAATGATGGAGCTATACCTCCACTCCCCCATAAGTCTTCATTGTGTGGTGCTTAATTAATTAGAAACAGTCAAAACTTTAATTTTGTATATTTTCTGGGATATAACGCGGTGCAGTTCAATAGTTCATCGATATTTCGGAGGAACATACTGACTCCATCTTCAAGATTGAAGAGTAAGTCGCCGTTGTCAGACCTGAACCCCACCACAGCGTACTCTGATTTTCTGTAACCACCTTAAAGTCCTTTAATGGAGCATATAGGACTTCAGAGTGGAAGAAACGAGAGAAAAACGCATGTATGCTCGCGGGACAGGAGGGAGATATTGGGAACGGGTGACCGATTGCTGTGTTTGGATCTCATATACTTTGACATGCGCTACTTTTGTGTACGTTACGCGACCTCCTGCACAAATATTCCCTGGGACCTCATGAAAGTTTTACGTACGTTTCCTATGCTTGACACTTTCCCTATCTCTTGTAATCCTATTTTCCTCTTCCCTTTTCCCGTTCTTCACCCCCTGCGTTAAAAGTTGTTCTCATCTCTGTAAAAGTCTGTTCATGCTCTCGAAAGCCTTGTCCGCACGGTCAGTAGCAGCAGTAACAGACAAGAATTTTCCCAAAGCCTCGCCTAGAAACGGATATAGGTACAGTTGCACGTAGAGAAAGTTTGAAGTTCTTATACTTTGTCTAAAACATTTTTGAGGGTGAGTCATCACCTCCATTAGGAAGTCAAGATATTACATTTTGAACATGGGATGTGCACCAGAATCGCCGAACCTGGAATATCTTCCTACACACAAAAATTACCTTCCTTGTCTGCACAAGATGTGACAACCTTAGAAACACAGGTTGATTCTAAATTACTGTTGCTGTTTCCGTTAAGAAGCCACGAAAAACCAGACAGTAATTTAGAATCACTTTTATTTTGGGCACAATGTACTTTGAGATATTGGGTTTTCGGACTTTGTCTATCGTCCTAGTTTTTAAGATAACAAAGAAAAACACGACGTTTCGGAAACTGGATCTGTTTCCGTCCTCGGGTGAGGGAAAACACCTATTCTGTTGGGTCCCTTAGAAAGAGCTAGCCTCAATTACTGGACCAGTGATTGAGGCTGGCTCTTTCTAAACGTCGTGTTTTTCTTAGTTACCTTAAAAACCAGGACGATGGATAAAGTCCGAAAACCCAATATCTCTCTGTGTTATACACCATCGTCAGAATCCTATAGTAACTACAATATACTTTGTTTCACTCCCTCTCAAAACAACGGATGTCTGCGTTCTTTTCTGTTTTTGTGTTGTCCTGTGTAGGTATAAACTTTGCTTCCGGCTGATCCCCCATCCAAGGAATCTTACAGACTGTCTAAGCTTGAGAAGCTGAAGTGAAACGAATCCTTTTCACGGATGCCCTATGATCCAAGTGGGAGCGACAGGAAATAAATAAAATATGGATCCACATTAATAATAAAATTCAATACGAGTAGCGCATTTCATGGATATTTGTCTGAAGATGATCCAGCTGAATCGAAACATGTGCAAATAAACGAGTATTAATATAATAATATTGGTTTATTTATTACGAATTTATTGTGTTGAAGGTTGCATAATATTACTATAAAATTTTGTAGCCTGAAAGTCATCTAAATAATGTTTAAGAATTCACTTCCCTTCTCACAGAAAACATACTACGTCTTCATTACGAAGAAAACAGGCTAATGCTATCTAGGCGAAACATCTCTGTTTGTTTTCAGAACTATACGAAGCATATTAATATGTTCTGTCGGCAGAATGAACAGTTGTAGTGTGTCAAAGCAGGTGATACACTCTAGTAGAAAGGGTTAAACATTAGAATAAACGTATAAATTATAGATTCCTGCGTTACACGAATATATTCCCCAGATCGTGTCATACACTGAGGTGGTCACACGCTGGGTTCTCACTATGGAAGCCTGGGGTTCAGTTCATGTGGCATTCGTTTTAATATTATCAGTGAGGGTAAGAGTCCTGTCTTCTGGGTTATAACGTCGTGTAATCTGTTGAAAGTCAACCGATGTTTCGGAAAAACATGTCGCCTATATATTCAGGGTCTAAGAAAAAGCCAAGCAAGAAACGAGCATGAAGCAGGTTCGTTCTGTTTTCCTTTGCTAACTACCATTCCACTATTGCTTCCTAACCTTGAAATATGAAATGGCCCTGACCAGGCAGTCGGTCAACACATGCCCAGTCTTTAAGTTGGGCGCTTCCTCTGTGACCCTGCACTTGGCTGTGTGCAGTGTGAGAGAGTTAATTTATTTAATAACTCTTTTCCAATTCTTCTATTTTTTGCTTATTTATTATTATTTTTAAGATGGGGTGAGAGTAAATCTCTTTCTACGTATGCTGTAAAATGGCCCATTATACTAGCCCTGGATGATAGGAGGCAGAAATTAGAGAATTCGAAGGAATGCAGATTGGCAGGAGAAAGCCCGTCGCAGTGTCGTTTGCTTATCACAAATCCCACATTAACTGGTGTGAGCTTGAAATCGAACCATCACGGTGAGAAGCAGGTGGCAGATGACTTTCTACTTTTTAAGATCAAAAGTCTTTCCTCTGAAACATTTCTTGAAAACTGTAATTGACACTAATAAGGAGGTTGGTCTAGAAGTAAACACAGAGAAAACTCAGAGTACTCGTATGTGACGGTCTCGTCACCAGAATGCATGGCTAAATCATCATATAAAGATAGTCAACAGATATTTTGAAAATGTGGCACAGTTCAGATATTTGGGAACGACGGTAACAAATCAAAACCTGATTCAGCAGGAAATTAAGAGGAGATTGAACTCGGGTAATGCTTGCTACCATTCAGTCCATAACATTTTGTCTTCTCGTCCGATGTCCAAAAACTTAAAAAAAAAAAAATAGGATATACAAAATTATAATTTTGCCTGTTTTTCTTTATGGGTGTGAAACTTTGTCCCTGACATTAAGAGAGGAACACATGGCGAGGGTGTTTGAGAAAAGGGTGTTGAGGAGAATATTTGGACCGAAGAGGGATGAAGTGACAGGAGGTTGGAGAAAATTGCATAATGAGGAGCTTCATAACTCTTCGCGA